CCCCCCCCCCCCCCCGGACCCCCCCTTGAGCGGAACCCCCCCCCCCTTTCCCCTTCCCCCGTTCTCCTTCAAAGAGGCAGGGGGTGGAAGTTTTTTTCGGTCATCCCGCCCTTGTTTGGGGCCGTGCTGGGATTCCCGGCGCTGCTCGTGGGGGCACTTCACGGGGGGGGGGGGCAGCCGGTCCTCGCCCGGCTCGGTTATTATTTTGCCAACCACCTCCAGCCCCCATTGAACGCCATCAAGAATTGCGGGCGGCCCCCCCCCCTTTCCCCTCCCCCTTCCCGGGGGTGGGAGCCTCCACCCCCCACCCCACCCCCCTTCCTGCCTGCAGGCGAGGACCGCGCGTGGGCGATCGTGGGCGTGCGGCAGGGCAACTGGCTGCTCGCCTCGTGGGGGGTGAGCTGTCACCAGCCCCCTTCCCCCCCCCCCCCACACCCCCTCTCCCTCCACCCCACCCCCACCCCGCCCGCCCCCTTTTGCGGCTGCTCACCCTCCCCCCCTCCCCCCCTCCCCACCCCTACCCTCAGGCGCGGCAGATCATCCTCTCGCACGGCCTCGTCGCCACCCTGCTCGGCATCTTTGGCACGCTCCCCTCCGACTGGACGGGGGCGCACCCCAACGCACCCTGGATGCTGATTGCCTCCTCGCACGCGCTCAACCGGCGCGGGCGGGTCTGCTACCTCTGGCTGCAGGATCCAACGTGGTCGCCGGCCGGCGCGGCGACTGGCTGCTCGGCCAAGTACGCCTGCACGCAGCTCGCCCTCGCCATCGCCTGGCTCTCAATTTTTGAGGGCGAGAGGTTCCCATTCGTCTCGCCGAACAAGCGCGGCGGCATCAACCTGCCGCGGCTGCGTGGCCACCTCAACAAGATCCTCTACTCGGACGCTGTCGTTGGCGTCGGCCGAGGGGGCTACACGCGCTGCTGCCTCAAGGAATTCCTCGCCTCTCCACTCCGCGACCAGGTGCTGCCCGCGTGGACGGCGACCAACTCCGACGTCCGCATCGGGCCGCACACTTTGCCGCGCGGCGTGCTCGTCATCGCGTGGTCGCCAAAGCAGGTCGGCAAGACGCTGCCCTTCGACGTGCGCGCTGCCACCCCGGCGGAGCTGGAGGAGCTGGGCGGCACCGGCGACCTCGAGCCGCTCATGATCGGTCGGGACCCCCGCGGCAGCGGCAAGCTGGTGGTGCTTGAGACTCGCCGCTCGGTCGTGCACTCTGTCGTGCAGTCGGAGACCTTCGCCGAGCTCGACTACCAGGCCGCCGCGTCCGAGGTTGAGTCGGCGGTGCGCTCGCTGGCGGAGAACCTCCCGGCCGCCTGCGTGGAGCTCCTCAGCAAGCGGCACATCAAGCTCGGCGAGTCCGACATCAAGGTGCGCCCCCCCCCCCCCCCC